CAAACATACCACAGTCATAGCTTCATGATAACATACATATGAATGTCAAACTTGTGTGTAATGTTAATAAGAGAGCCAAAATTGAATAGTGAATGAAGAAATTTTAGAATACCTATCAGTTTTATGTTGGAGACAAGCGTCTTTCAACCTCTCTAATTCAAACTCCTTCACATTTGCAACATAAAGGTCTCCAAAATATTGTTGCAATAACAAATGCATTGTTTGAACCTATGCATGAATATTGTAAGATAGATTATGCTGATCATTATTATTTTTAAAAATATATATATATATTAAACGACCTACCAATTTCCTTGCCATTAATTCACGACGTTTGTCATTTGTGAGGCTGGGACTCGAGTCAAATATATAATCCATGCGATGTGCCATATCTATGTTGACACAAAACCAATGTTCTTCATGGTCGTTCACCGAAATATATATCTAAGTGGCAATAATAAAAAAAGGGTCATGCCACGTTGCCCAACCAGTTTAGAAAAATAAAAAACAACAAAATAATGACGACGTTGATACCCTAAAAAACTTAATAAATAATAAAAATATTAGTAAAATGGAGGGGATATTTAAAATAATCCTGTAAAATGGAAGAATGCTTGACACATTACTTCTTGACAGGCATGAAGCTTCCCAGTGTATCGAGACTCCCCAAAAAATTCGTCACATAGCTTTGCATGGTTCGCCCCATTGATAATATGTTGCTGCAATTGATAATGCACAAGTATACATCAATAAGTATACATGAATAACCAAACATAAACATGACACACTAGACTACTCACCGATACATATGTGGGAAAGTACCACGTCCTATGACACTTATCGGGGAAGAGCCTCCTTTGTGCGTTTGTCAATTGTGCTACAACTAAATTAATAATCTGAAATACAGGCATCAAATAATAATTTCAAACCTATATCATTAAAAATGACATCACATAGCAATATTGATGCATGAAATGAACACTTACGGAACCACAAATCCATGTTTTTGGTTGTAATGAGCACAAATCGAATCGGGTGGCAAATTCAACCGGCGTGTAAAACAACTCCATGACCACAATATCCTCACTGCATCATGTACAAATTGAAGAGTTGCACTTATTGGTGATAGAGAGGAACATACAAACGCAATAAAATTACCTGCTTTCCAAATCCTTATCGAAACAATAAGCCTTAACAATTTGCTCCTCAGCAGATAAAGGACATGGCCTCACAATTTGTGTAGTCGATGACTTGTGAATTTAACCGAACACATAAACAATAAATTGTCATACTTCTTGCAGTGCATTAAAATAAGGGGATTGGAGATCAAGAACAATAATGAAATTAGTAATAACCTCAATGGCAGTAGCAGATGCTTCAAAATTGAGGCCAAGTAGTTTTCCAAGTAAGTTCAAACTCTAAAACAAATTACAACGAACAATAAATAATAAATAATGAAAAATCCTAAAATATATTTATAGGAATAGCAACATTGTATAACACATATATTATGTACATGACTTACTTGATCAAACTTATCCTCCTTTGTATCGAGAGATGAATCTGATTCATCTAAATGAAGCTTTGTCTTGGTTGGTACTTTCTGAGTGGCTTTCCTTTTCTTACCAGCAATGGCTGTAAAAGGTGATTGTATGTCCACCCGCGCATCCGAATGTTGAGTGCAAGGACCGCCATATGGACCAATGGATGAACTAGATTCATCAATAAGTTGGAGTTTTGGGATTTTCTTTCTTCGATTGTTGTTCAATCTTACCTTGATTTTGTTCTTCGCTTGTTTGGTTTGCTCATGAAGATGGGCATCCAATTGCAAGTTGGATGGTGTGAGCGGGATTCTATTTTCCTCCATGTTCTCTAATGCTACCAAAACATTAGGTTTTGGCGGGAGTGTATTGTTCTCATGTTCAACTGTAGGTACAACCGTAGATTCAACCACAACATTAGGTTTTGGCACGAGTATAGGGCGGACATGTTCAACTATAGGTACAACTGTAGATTCTACCACAACTCCAGGTGCAACTATGCCAGGTTCACATTTACAATGGCCGTGCCCCGCTTCCTGTTGTTTTGACATTTGCAGTGGCTCACATTTTTCCATGACCTTCGGAATGGAAGAATTAGTTATTCCACTTTTAACAATAACAACTAGTTCTTCCAAAAATTCCGTCTACGAATAAAAAATATCTATTGAAAAATTTGTTTTAAGTATACATTAATTCAAATGGAAAAAGCACAAATAGCTTCTAAATTAGATCAAGAAAAATATTAGGGATCTCAAATATTTTATTAATATTTTTACTAAATGTTTCACATGGGTATGAGACCCACACTATGTGAATCTCATATGAGTCCCACACCCATGTGAGATATTTGATAAAAATATTAATAAAATATTTGAGATCATCTACATTACTCTTAGACCAAAGAGTGTAAAGATTCTGAGCTCGTTTGGCATTGGTTAATATAGTCGACTTTTTTGTATTGAAACTTTTTTAGTCTCGTTTGATTGTTGTTTTAGGGTTTTTTTGACTTTTGTGGAAAAAAAAAGAGTATAATGATTATAGGTAAAAAGTAATATTTTGTCTTATTAATTTTTGTAGTCAAATTGAATTTGTAATTCCAATCAAAAAAATTTATTTTTTTTCAAAACTTATTATCATCAAACACACAATTTGAAATTCAATTTAAAAATTATTTTCAAAACTTATATTCAAATACACAACTCAGAACTATTCTGAAAATTCAAAATTAAATTTCAAAACTCTATTTTTAAAAAAAATTAAAATATTTTTTTTAATTTTGTCTTTTAAAATTATTTTTAAAATCATTTGAGTGTGAAGCCGTGTTTTGAGTTATGAATTTTGAGTTGAGTTTTGAAAAATCAAAATTTGTTTGGTTATGAGTTTTGAAAATAATTTTAACTTGTATTTTGAATTTTTTTGGGATTTTTTTTAAATATTTAAATATATTCTTAATTTTATTTTTTTAGGGTAAATATTTTATATTTTAAATGTTTATTTATTGAATGTGCACTATATTTCATACATTTGTATGCTGTATTTTTTAAATATTTTAAATATATTTTTTAAATATTAAAAAAATTTAAATTTTTTATTTTTTGTTTTAAATATTTTTATTTTATTTGATAGGTATATTTTTAAATATTCAATTTTTTTGTTATGTGTTTGGTTACGATTTGAGTATAAAGTTTTGAAAATAGTGTGGAGTTTTGAATTATGTGTTTGGTTATGAAGTTTGAAAATAATTTTTTAATTGAGTTTTGAGTTATGTGTTTGGTTATGAGGTTTGAAAATAATTGTTTACAATCAAACTTTTTTTTTCCTTGTAGCCTTTCGGAGCCTAGAGTACCTGTTACAAAAGAAATTGCATTCAGTAAGTAATCAGCTGAGTTTATGAAGGGCATAAGTTGTTCATGGTTTGGGGACGCACCTCTCTTTGTATTGTTCGAGCCTATTCATAACCTCAATGTAAATACGGTTGGACGAATCGTTCACTAGGTCAACTAGTAGCCTAAACCTTTCCAGTTTATCAAACTAAGGAAACAAAACAAAAAATTTTCCATCAACAATACCATCATATGACATTGTAATTGCAATAGTGTAATTATGTGGTTAACATTGAACAGTCACCTTGTGTACGCCGGTCGGCATAACAACACCTTGCATATACTTCATGACAAACATACCACAGTCATAGCTTCATGTCAACATACATATGAATGTCAAATTTGTGTGTAATGTTAATAAGAGACCCAAAGTTGAATAGCGAATGAAGAAATTTTAGAATACCTATCGGTTTTATGTTGGAGACAAGCGTCTTTCAACCTCTCTAATTCGAACTCCTTCACATTTGCAACATAAAGGTCTCCAAAATATTGTTGCAATAACAAATGCATTGTTTGAACCTATGCATGAATGTTGTAAGATAGATTGTGCTGATTGTTTTTTTTCTTTAAAAAAATAAAATAAAATAAACGACTTACCAATTTCCTTGCCATTAATTCACGACGTTTGTCATTTGTGAGGCTGGGACTCGAGTCAAATATATAAGCCATGCGATGTGCCATATCTATGTTGACACAAAACCAATGTTCTTCATGGTCGTTCACCGGAATATATATCTGAGTGACAATAATAAAAAAAGGGTCATGCAACGTTGCCCAACCAGTTTAGAAAATTTATAAAAAAAAAATAGTGACGACGTTGATACCCTAAAAAACTTAATAAATAATAAAAATATTTGTAAAATGGAGGGGATATTTAAAATAATCCTGTAAAATGGAAGAATGCTTGACACATTACTTCTTGACAGGCATGAAGCTTCCCAGTGTATCGAGACTCCCCAAAATATTCGTCACATAGCTTTGCATGGTCCGCCCCATTGATAATATGTTGCTACAATTGATAATGCACAAGTATACATCAATAAGTATACATGAATAACCAAACATAAACATGACACACTAGACTACTCACCGATACATATGTGGGAAAGTACCACGTCCTATGACACTTATCGGGGAAGAGCCTCCTTTGTGCGTTTGTCAATTGTGCTACAACTAAATTAATAATCTGAAATACATGCATCAAATAATAATTTGAAACCTATATCCTTAAAAATGACTTCACATAGCAATATTGATGCATGAAATGAACACTTACGGAACCACAAATCCATGTTTTTGGTTGTAATGAGCACAAATCGAATCGGGTGGCAAATTCAACCGGCGTGTAAAACAACTCCATGACCACAATATCCTCACTGCATCATGTACAAATTGAAGAGTTGCACTTATTGGTGATAGAGAGGAATATACAAACGCAATAAAATTACCTGCTTTCCAAATCCTTATCGAAACAATAAGCCTTAACAATTTGCTCCTCAGCAGATAAAGGACATGGCCTCACAATTTGTGTAGTCGATGACTTGTGAATTTAACTGAACACATAAACAATAAATTGTCATACTTCTTGCAGTGCATTAAAATAAGGGGATTGGAGATCAAGAACAATAATGAAATTAGTAATAACCTCAATGGCAGTAGCAGATGCTTCAAAATTGAGGCCAAGTAGTTTTCCAAGTAAGTTCAAACTCTAAAACAAATTACAACGAACAATAAATAATAAATAATGAAAAATCCTAAAATATATTTATAGGAATAGCAACATTGTATAACACATATATTATGTACATGACTTACTTGATCAAACTTATCCTCCTTTGTATCGAGAGATGAATCTGATTCATCTAAATGAAGCTTTGTCTTGGTTGGTACTTTCTGAGTGGCTTTCCTTTTCTTACCAGCAATGGCTGTAAAAGGTGATTGTATGTCCACCTGCGCATCCGAATGTTGAGTGCAAGGTCCGCCATATGGACCAATGGATGAACTAGATTCATCAATAAGTTGGAGTTTTGGGATTTTCTTTCTTCGATTGTTGTTCAATCTTACCTTGATTTTGTTCTTCGCTTGTTTGGTTTGCTCATGAAGATGGGCATCCAATTGCAAGATGGATGGTGTGAGCGGAATTCTATTTTCCTCCATGTTCTCTAGTGCTACCACAACATTAGGTTTTGGCGGGAGTGTATTGTTCTCATGTTCAACTGTAGGTACAACCGTAGATTCAACCACAACATTAGGTTTTGGCATGAGTATAGGGCTGACATGTTCAACTATAGGTACAACTGTAGATTCTACCACAACTCCAGGTGCAACTATGCCAGCTTTACATTTACAGTGGTTATGCCCCAGTTCCTGTTGTTTTGACATTTGCAGTGGCTCACATTTTTCCATGACCTTCGGAATGGAAGAATTAGTTATTCCACTTTTAACAATAACAACTAGTTCTTCCAAAACACTTTTCATGTCACAAACAGTCGTCTCAATTTTTGAAATCCGAATATCATTGATATTTTTCATTTCCTCACTTTGTACAAATGGTTGCATTTGCTCGTCAACAACGAAATTAACATCAACCTATTTATATACACATCGTAAACAATTTAGTTTTCCATTTCAACATGAAAAATAACAAACAAAAACCAAACATAAAAGAAAGGATACGGTAAGGATGACCTCCTCATTCTGGTAACCTCCTGATTTTTGGAATAGTTTCAGTGTCGCCTTTATTTCTGCATCACCCCAATCAGCCAAGGAGGGGACCGAACGAGCACGACCAACATCACAACCACTAGGAGCAACACGATCAAAGTAAAACAACTGCATCACAAAAATGTATTAATTTAACATGTACTATGTAATGAAAAAGGCATTGAAGTCAAGTATTTCTAACAAAACAATTTGTAATTGGTTAGAAGCATACCATTATAAGAAATAAGCATCCATTTGGTTGTGAGTGACTTTTTGAATTATACTTGCATAAACCACGAACAAAGAATTGAAGAGTGAACTTTGCCCAATTATAATCCTTCATGCCATCCACATTCTGAACGAGGTGAATGAATGATTGTTTAACAACATCCTTTGTGGTTGGGCATAAAAAGGCACCTAATATATATAGGGAAAATATCCTCAAAAATTCCTCTCCAGCTCCCTCTGTTTTGGTCAAATACTCTCTCAAAACATTCAGTTTGATAGCTCCTTGGACAACTCCAAGTTCTTCAAATAGCTTGGGAAATGCTTGTGAAGATTTTTTTAGTTCTATTGTTTTGCCTTTGGTAGGAATACCCAATAACTTGTGAACATCTAGTTCAGTAAAGAGGAGTCGTCGCCCATGAACATTCAATGAACAAGTTTTGGGATCAACTTTCTGAACCAACCATTCGCAGAGGTCATGATCAAGCTTTATACATCTGAGATTGAAAAGCCCCCCTAACCCACTACTAGTAACTGCATCACGTTGTTCCATGCTCAATCTTTTTATTATTTTAACAATTGATCTCAAGGTAATTCGCGTTTGGAAATGCCACTGAAAAAGAATATAGTGGGTATTAGAATAATTTAAGAAAGACACTTTCAATAACTTCAGAATAGTGTGTGAATCAATTTCTGTGAGAATATGAAAATGCAAACATGTTATTACAATATGTGAAATATGTCATAATAAAACAATAAATTGTTGTTCTCTTTGTATTTCACCTTTCTTGGTTTTGTGGGAAGGGGACCTTCCAACTTGGCTTGCTTATCAATAGTCCACCTGTCCATCTCTTTGTACTCCTTGTCTTTCTTCTGTCGGGTTCTCCATTGATGTCATGTGTCCTTCTTCATATACATTGCCTCAAAAGTAAATATAAGTGATGCAAGTACAACATAAAAGATAAAGATAACATAAAATATGCAAACAGTATGTGGTAGGTAGGCAATGTGCAAACCGTGTCGGTAACTGTAATTTGTGCTTCTTGCATGCTTTTGTTTTCATCTTCACTACAGGTTCAACCAAATGTATAATAGGGGCTAATATTTAAACCCAACATAAAACATGTAATTAAAATAATACATTGAATAGTGTGAAGAAATAATACTTGTAGAAGAAGAATGCTGGTGTAAATCGTTTGTGTATGCAAGGTTTGTTGCTTCCTTCGCTCATTGTGTATTGTTATATATTATCTACATAAGCAAAGGTGAAATAATCATATGGGACAAAATCAAGTTAGTAAGTGCAAGAAAAGTATAAACACCAAAAGACAAATAATAATAAACACAACCCCTTCCTTATTTGAGAGAGATATATATACTATGAATACAATAAAAGAAATGTACTGATTAGTTTTATTCAGTTGACGCAATAATACAAGCACACACTAGTTGCAGCTGATGACTTGATGGGGACTGTTACTACCGTCTCATGTTTTCTCTAATTTCATGTGTTGAAGAACATCTAGTCCTTATTTCCATCCTTTAATTTTTGCTTGATAATAATAACAATAAAATATGGGGGATACGATAAAAAACAAAACCAAATAAGCTGGTAACTCCGAAGACGAACCAGACAACATCTGGAGAACAACTATTTTACATAAACTCAAGGAGGTTTTGTAAACTTACTTACTTACATCTAAAACATCCAAGGGTTTTGCACAAGTTGAAACTCACATCAAAAGATAAGTTTCTCAAAAAAAATAAAAAGGAAAAAAGAAGGCCAAGTAATACTAGAAATCAGCTGGGAAGAAACGATCCTTAAACTTTTCACACAAATGCAATATGAGAAAGCATAGGACACTTGACCAAGCCAAAAGACAGAAAACAAAGAAGACAAACCAGATTACTAGGTCACAAAATCATAGAAGCATGAACATGAAACAACTTAAGGTCTAGCAATTTCAGCAAAACTAAATTTTACAGCTTACAACTTAAATGCTCATTCAATTACCAGAACATAATCCCAAGATAATGTTGGCTACAGTTTTAATATCCTGGAGCTATTCTTTGAGGAAACATTAATCAAACTGAAACCAAGAATTGTTCTTTAAAGTTCAAACCATTTTAGTAAAACCTAGCACACTTAAGGAAGCACATGTCCAAATGACTTAATAACAAAAAATCCAAGTACAAGCACACTGAAAGTTAAAATGTATTGCATTATATTCTGTGGCACCAAATGCCAAAATTCTATTTGCTAAAAGCCAATTTGATCTCAAAAAAGGGAAAG